CTGCCTGCCTGATCACCCCTAACCACCTCTGCTGACCTGATTGCCACCTAACCGCTCCCCTGCTGGCCTGATGGCCCCCAACTGCCCTCCCCTGCCAGCCTGATGGCCCCTAACTGCCTCTGCCTCGGCCCCCACCACTGTGGCTTTGTCCCAAAGGAAGTTGGACATCCAGAAGATGGCCAGTTAACCAGGTTTAATTAGCATGTTATGCTTTTATTAGTATACATAGATTATATAGGATAGAGTTGCTTAAATGGGGGGGGACATCTGTGACCTGGAGAAAGTCATTGATTTCATCCATCCACCCACCCACCAATCCATCCATCCATCCATCCATCCATCTACCCATCCATCCATCCATTTATCCATCCATCCATGCATCCATCTGCCCATCCACCCATCATCTACTCATACATTCCCTCACCCATCCATCCACCCACTCATCCATCCATGAGGCATGCATCCAGCCAGCCACCACACCAGGGAGGACAGGACATTAGCCATGAAAGATATGGTCACGGCCCTCCCAAAGCCAATAGCCTATGGAGGAAACAACTAAACAGACAGAAATAAAGAACACAAAAGGTTGATTAATTATTTAATGTCTGGCCTCCTCTCATGCCGACCAGGCTTCCTTGGATGGAAGGAGCTAAGTTTACTAGTAGTCACCTCTCTGTACCCGGCCTGTAGGGTCAGCCTTAGAGCAATCTCCTTGGTTTAAATTCTTCAAGACTCCCTTTGGCCACAGCCATCCATGCTTCTAGTCATCTCCTGTCCCCGCCAACATCTCCTGCCCTTGCTTCTCTCATCCAGCCAGACTGAACTCCAGCTCTCTGCCACCTCTCCAGCACACCTTGGCACCTGTCTTCCCTCTGCCTGGCACACATTCCGCCTTCAGACCTCCCCTTGTCCCTCTGTCCACAGACTAGTTCGAGACTCCACTTCCTCTGAGAAGCGCTCCCTCACCCTCAGGCTCCCCTCACAGGCCTGCCTTCTGCCTCCCAGCTGTTTCCAGACCCAGCCCCCTCACCCCATCCATCCCACCAGGACTGTCACTCCAGACAGCAAGGCCTGTGCCCACCTTCTCTCTCTGTGCCCAGCACAGCACCTGGCACAGAGCAGGTGCTCCATAAATACTGTTTGACAAATGTCCCACCAGCCCCTAGCCAATGGTCCCCTCAGGAGGTGAGCAGTACACCCCTGGCCCGAGAGCCCAGAAAGAAATGCTGAAAGCTCCGCCTACCAGGCCCTTGAAGAAGCCCCTGAAGGACTGGCTTCGCTTCTCCCATCTCCTCTGGGGCCTGTCCCCATTCTGCAGCGCGTTGGCCTGGGCCACGGCCACGGCCACGGCCGGCTCCGCACATGCACAGGGGGCCGGCTCTTTGGCTTCCTGCTTGTGGTTCTTCTGCTTGTTGCTCTCGGAGGCGGCTGTCTTCTTGTCCTTGGCGGAGCCCTCCTTGCCCTTCTGGCTCGCTCCTGCCGGCTGGGGCTGGGGCTCGGGCGGCGTGGTGGCCTTCTGCGCGGAGTGCGAGGTCTACAGCAAGTTCAAACAAATGCATCTCAGTGGCTGCAAGACAACTCTCAATAAATACGTTAAAACAGAGATACTCAAACGTTGGATGGGATCTAGGTTTTCATGAGTCCTGGGTGAAATGAAGAAAATAATAAAAAGAAAACCAAGAAATGTGCCAATATTTATTACGGTACAGTCACAGCAGGGAACAGTTATTTGTTCATCTAATAATTTGTTAATGTCATGCTTTCCCAGCAAGCATTCTTCTTCCTTTTTTCTGGTATTAGAACCTGGGTTTTCCTTGGGGAACCACTCTTCCCTCTTGTCTATTCCTTAGGGTTGAGGCAAACTAATGATACCCCTGGACAGGAGCACGTGACCCAGCCTGGCCAATCAAACCATTGCATGTGATTGGGCTGCTGTGATTGGTTCAGGATGGCCAAACAGATGAAAACTGAGCTAATCTCAGAGCTTTGTTCAAACAGCTGTGTGAGAGAGTCCTGCTCCTTTTCTGCTGGGTTTAAAGATAAATGCCTGCAGCTTCCAGAGCCACGGGCACTCCCAGGAAAAATACGTTTGAAAAGTTAGCTAACACAGAGGAAAGCTGAGAGAGGAAGAAAAGAAGAGCCCACATATTGATGGCTTTGTGTGTGCACCTGGATCTAGCTGTTCCTGAAGCCCTTGATGCTAATGCTAGTTTTGAGATGTTTCTGCATGTACAACTGCATGTGACTCTTTTCTTGGGGATACCTTTACGATTCTATGTCTACCTTGATTTCTGGTGTGAAATTGTCCCTTTGCTTCATAAAACAGTGATAAAGAAGATGATTGTTTTATTTTTAGTTTTGAACTTACATCCTTTCATGCTAAAGTGAAATGTTTATAATCCTACTTGGTTTCTACAATTTGGAGAGATGAGGCTGTCAAATCCAAAATTCTAGAAAATACTGGGTAAATTACAGACAGATTTTAAAAATTCTACTAGGAAGTAAAAGCCTTTTCTCCACAATTTCCTTGAACTGAAATGCCTACAGGGGCCAGACAGATAAAATAAAACATGACCGAGGCTACAGGTAAGAATTTTTTTGGAGACCTTATTCCTCCAGTTGCGAAACCAGTGTAGGGACAAGGAACTATTTCTCTAGTGTAAGAAGACACCAGTTCAAGCAATGCTGTCTTTGATGGTTTAGGGAGACAATTTGGAGTAGGGGGACTGTGGTGAGCTGAATGTTACACGTCCTGTTTAAACAGCTGCTCAGACCCAGCCTGGAGAGGCTATGTAGGATTACAGCCCAGTGTCATCGTCAGATCTGGCTTTTCAATGGAAACTTAACATTTATTTTTTTAAATGTGACATATGTGTATTTTTAAGTACTGACTTCTCAAGTTTTAAAGCGCTGTTTACAGCCAACCACAGCCCCAATACCCTGTGAGGCACATTCGATCTACTGGATATATGTTCGCAATCTCTGATTTATGAAGTTCTTACTGTCCCCAGGCCCAGAAATTCTATGACAAGGTGGCAGTTTGATTGAGAAGGAGCAGCCAGAGAGCTGTCACTGATGTGGATTGAGCACATGCCTTGGAAGGAAGTGGGAAGACAGCAAAGTCCCCAGTCCCCAGGTTGCAGCCCCCGGAGGGCAGGCATCCACCCCCCGCCCCCCTGCAGAAATCAGCATCAGACACTCAGTGCACCCGAGAAGCTGTTCTGCAACCGTGTGTCCTCAGTATTTCTGTCGGCCCTGCTGCCTACATTCTAGCAAATGCTAAGGCACAGAAGGTCCAAGGACAGCAGACAATGAGCCAGAGGCTCCCACCAGAAAAGATCAGTAACCAGTGACCCCATTCAAACAGCTCCCCCACTGATTCTGTTGCATGGACAATTTTAAGATACAGCGAATAGCTAAGAGCTTGGTGTGTGAAGTCAAAGGGACCAGGTTCTAGTGCTGTCACAAACTTGCTGTGTGGCCTTGCTGTGTGTTCGGTCCCTCAGCTTCCTCCTCTGTATGGAGGTAACTAAAGAAATCATACCTGTGCCGCTGGGAGGACTACATGAGCTGGTAATGACACTGTGCCGGGACCATGTGAATGGCCAAAGGGGGGCCAATTATTTTGGTTTGTTTGAGTATGGGGGCAGGGTTCAGGACATGGAACAGTTTTAAAACTGGGAAAGTCCTGGGAAAACTGCTCATCTGGTTTAACATCACCAGAGGTGATCCTGAGAGACTGTGTGGATCCGAGTGCCAGTACAGAGGAGGCACTCAGGAAATACTCGTTGATTCAAGTCCCCATGTGATGTTTAGGTCATGACTTAAAGGACAGGGAGGAATTTTCCATGTGGAAAAGAGGGAAGAGCATGTGGGAAAGCTTTGCAATAAGAAATAGCGGGGGATCTCTGCCTTGTTCATGCTGTATCTGCAGAGCCCTTTAGTGCCAATAGACAGTAGGTGCTTAACCTGGAGACACTGACTGAGCTGGCATGGTTGAGGACTGCACTGGGAATGAGGCTGGAAAGAACTGAGGGCACGATAGCTAAACCCACCACTGAACCGAGGTCACCCGTCACTTACTTGGTAGCTGGAGTCTTTCCCATTTATGTCTTCTGAGTGGGTGGTCCCTCCATCCCCTTTCACTGACTAGAATAACAAACAGACAATGGCCTTTCAGCTACCGCTCGCACAGCAAAATAGAGCACGCGAAGGCAGTTCTGACATGGGTGGCTGCAGTCATTTGTTGTTGAGAGTCAGATCAAGACAAATGGAAGACCAAGTGGAAATGGATTACTTATGAGATATATACTTTCCACACGGTCTGCACCCAGAGAGTCTAATAAATTCAAGCATCACATCCCAAAATGACAACAACAAGACAAGTCTCTGACTGCAGGGTTAGGTCATTCTGGGATAAATAAGTAGTGATGAAAATACCAATGTTGGAACCAGGAGGTGACTGAAAACATCAATGAATGAGTCAATGAACAAACAGGTGGCCCAAAGGTACAAACACCCAGTTATAAGATAAGTATTAGGGTGTGATGTACAACGAGATGACTACAGTGACCTCTGCTGTGTGATATAGAAAAGTTGTTAAGACACTAAGTCCTAAGAATTCTCATCTCAAGAAGAAACATTTTTTTCTGCCCCCCCCATTTCTTCTCATTGTACCTGTATGAGATCATGAATGCTAACTAAACTTTCAAACCTTTATGCTGTACACCAGAAAGTCATACAGTGATATATGTCCATTATATCTTAATAAAACTGGGACAAATAAAAACAAAGTAGATGAATAAACAATTAAACCATTGGTAGCCTTTCATTGGTGACATTTGGTGGTTCTTCATTGCTCCCTCCCTCTGTAATTCCTTCCCTCGTCCCTTGTTCAATTTCTCTCTATTCCCCTTCTCTCCTCTGGGTAGAACTCCTCTTCAGAGACGAATTGGAACAGTTTCATCTTGGGCTCTGTATTAAAAGGACCACAACCACGGAAACTTATTTTCCCAGCTGTCAAAACTAGCAGAGCTCCTGTTTAAAGAGACTAAAATTCTTTCAGAGACAAATACTTTAAAGAACAGTCTGAAGACTGAAATAATTTCAGAAATTTTCCAACGTGATACAGAGCAACTGTCTTCATGGAGTTTATTTCTGTTCATGATCGTCAAAAGGTGGAGACGGAACCTGGTTGTGACACCCAAGCCTTGGGTCTGCATAAAGTTATTTTCTGTACCTTTGCTGGGTCATCCATTCCTACAGCTTGATACTCGGAGGCATGTCTGAACCATTTCCAATACATATATCTCTTAGGTACTGAGAATTCTCATTGGGACGTTTGGTGTGTATTTTGATGGAGATGTTATCCAACCCAAAGTGAGATTTACAAGAAAAATTGGGAAGCCATTTTAATGGGGTGTGAGCATATCAGCAACACTGTTTGCTTGATCGGCCTCACTACAATACACCTAAACATCAGGACCTGCTAGAAATTTCCAGGATAAACAAAGGCTATGAGTCCAAACTTGGTGTTTTACCAAGATGCTCACTTGAAACGAAATTGGACAATTCAGACAAAATTACACATTGGAGGCCAATCGCATTTTAGTGACAAAAACTTTCAGAAAACCATGTCCAAGCTTTACACCCGTCATGTATTCATGTATTTACCTTGTAATTCCAAGTGAGTGTAATTTTAGGGAATTTCAGGTAGGACCACAACATAAAAATGATGTTTGTTCAGAAAGCATTACTCAGAGAATCACCAAAATGGAGCTATGGCTGTCCTATCTCCAGGTCATCTCAGAGAAAACCAGTTTCCAGGAGAAGCCCAGGAAGCAAAAATAACACGAGTAGAAGGGTGAATCAACAAAAACCGAGTTTGAGCTCTGGCTTGGCCAGTTAGCAGCTCTGTGACCTTGGGCAGGTCGCTTCAGCCCTGAGTCTCTGTGCCCTCACCCGCCCAGGAGGGCAGGAGGAGTGCTTGTTCCGCGGGGTTTTTATATTAATACTAGGGGCCCGGTGCACGAAATTTGTGCACTGGATGGTGGTGGTGGGGTGTCCCTCAGCCGAGCCTGCCCCCTCTCACATACTGGGAGCCCTCAGGCGTTGACCCCCATCACCGTCCAATCGCAGGATCAGTCCC